CATCATATACCAATCATATACCAATCATATAGTAATCATATGCCAGTCATAAAACAGGTATATACCCATCATATACCAATCATATACCAATCATATAGTAATCATATGCCAGTCATAAAACAGGTATATACCCATCATATACCAATCATATACCAATCATATAGTAATCATATGCCACTCATAAAACAGGTATATACCAATCATATACCAATCATATCCCAACTGTCAATGGAATTCGAAGCCTGTCAGTCCCATTGGTCCCTGGCAGTCTGCTGGTAGTTGCTGTAGTTGATCCGCGGTGGCTCGGTGCAGCTGCAAAGAGGCGTAATGCACGCCTGCGATGTCGTGCAGCTGAGAAGTTATTCAACGGTTTATGCTTGATGATGCTTGAATCATGATGATATTAATGCATATTATATGCTGGATATATGCTGGATACTGCTTGATTTATTCTATTCATGAATATCATGATGATATATGTTGGATATTGCTTGATAAAAACATATAAAAACTATTTGAACAAATATCTTTGCAGTGACAGGTGGACTGCCAGCTGATCAAGCTGAGGAGAGCCTCACGTTCCAAGGGCTTTTCTCCCGCGCATTGAGAATCCTCCAGGAGTGCTCCAGACCTTGGTCCGACGCAGATTTCAAGGGCTGGGAGCTCCATTCGTCCTCCAGATTTCTCGATATCTCGATATATCATTTTTACATATTTTTACATGATGATTGGTATAGATAAACCATAAATGATCAGACTATAAATGATGGCTATGATGGTTTTATGATGGTTTTATGATGGTTTTATTACAATTGATGAAAATGATCAGACTACATATTAATTAGACTTTGCCAAAGTCTCAAATTCCTTTGGACAGATACATGCCATTTTCATGTGGCAAAAAAACGATATAATCTGATTGCATCTGGTTGCCATGAGAGTTGTGCCTTCCCCAAATAGGGTTCCGTACCCTGTATTGTAGCAACGTACCAGCCGCGTCCTAGCAACTTCGCAGTGTCAATCTCCGAATTTCGCTGGGCGACTCGATGGCATGGATTTTTAACTGTCCTGAAGCTTGGAGTGCCCCCACAAGGCCTCACAGAATCCGCGTGAGCTGACGCACCAAACAGAAATTCTGCATGATTTTGCATAGTCTTCCATGATTTTGCATGGTTTCCTTCGACTTGAAGTCTTTGTTTTGAATGCGGCTGGTCAGTCATCCAGACTAAAATCAGCATTTTCTGCTCTTGAAGCAAATCCCTGAGCTCTCCGGCCCTTCACACATACTCCACCTCGTGGGTTCAAGAAGAAGTTGCCAAAAGTCTAAACAGTCTAAACCTGTATGTTGAGACTTGAAACACCACAGATCCTTGTCTGCCATTAAATCTGTAGAGACCGAAAAATAAATCTGGTCTGTGGAGTTGTGCATTCGGAGACTGACTTTCGGATTTTTCACTACGGCAAACTGAAGGCATAGTCTTGAAATGGGTACTATAGATATCTATAGATGTCATATATACCATCTGGTTATTTAACATAGCCATGGAAAATCACCACAGAAATAGATGGTTTACCTATTAAAAATGGTGATTTTCCATGTATATATATATATGTATTTATGTACCATAGATGTTCCTAGTCATCTGATCCTCTGATCCAGCATGGACCATGGGAGCCATCCGACAGAGATCCGGGCTCCGTGGTGTGGAACTCCGCCGTGTTGGCGCAGGTCTCACCGTCATAGCCCGTTTTGCAAATGCCTTGAGCGAAACGCGCCCAGTTTGATGCGAAGACAAACATCAAACTGGGATATTCTTGGTATTTTTGATATCCCAAATTGGGATAAACATTGTTTTGCTTTCGGACAATCACCATTTGCCAAAAAGAACCTGTCCAGAGAACCTTGGGATTGTCCGAGACCAAACATATCCATAAATGCCAAGGTCTTGTTGTATGACTTGTCTGGTTCTCAGTCGGGTCCTCTCTGAGCTTTGAACATGTGCCATTGCCTTCTCTGCCGTAGTCACAGCCTTGTGAACCCTCCTGACCAAGTGATATCAGTGATATCTGGGCAAGTTTCTACTTGAGAGGGGGAACACGAAAGGTAGGTAAGCAAGAAAGGAACCGAAGAAAAAATGAAGGGGAGAGGGGAGGGAAAAATACATAAAGTGGAGTCTGGTAAAAGCGACGCGGCCATTTTCTTTCCAAAAATATGAAGGGGAGTCTGGTAAAAGCGACTGAAAGGCTTCGGCGATGTGGTTGGGGTTGGTGGTGGTTGTGGTGTTGGTGGTGTTGGTGGTGCTGGTGGTGTTGGTGGTGTTGGTGTTGTTGGTATTGGTGTTGTTGGTGTTGTTGGTGGTGGTAGTGTTTCTGGTGTTGTTAGTGTTGTTAGTGTTGTTGGTGTGGTTGGGTTTGTTGGTGGTGTTGGTGTTGGTGTTGGTGTTGGTGTTGTTGTTGTTGTTGATCGTTGTGATGATGAATTTGATGTGGCGGGGAATGGTAGTCTGTTGTGTGTTGTTGTGTGTTGTTGTGTGTTGTTGTGTGTTGTTGTGTGTTGTTGTGTGTTGTTGTGTGTTGTTCTGTGTTGTTCTGTGTTGTTGTGTGTTGTTGTATGTTGTTGTGTGTTGTTGTGTGTTGTTGTGTGTTGTTGTGTGTTGTGTGTGTTGTGTGTGTTGTGGTGTGTTGTTGCTGTGTTGTTGTGTGTTGTTGTATGTTGTTGTGTGTTGTTGTGTGTTGTTGTGTGTTGTTGTGTGTTGTGGTGTGTTGTGGTGTGTTGTGGTGTGTTGTTGCGTGTTGTTGTGTGTTGTTGTCTGTTGTTGTGTGTTGTTGTGTGTTGTTGTGTGTGTTGTGGTGTGTTGTGGTGTGTTGTTGTGTGTTGTTTGTGCTGTTGTGTGTGTTGTTGTGTGTTGTTGTGTGTTGTTGTGTGTTGTTGTTGTTGCGTTGTTGCGTTGTTGTGTGTTGCGTGTGTTGTTGTGTGTTGTTGTGTGTTGTGGTGTGTTGTTGTGTGTTGTTGTGTGTGTGTTGTTGTGTGTGGTTGTATGTGTGTTGTTGTGTGTTGTTGTGTGTTGTTGTGTGTGTTGTGTGTGTTGTGTGTGTTGTGTGTGTGTTGTGTGTTTTGTGTGTTGTGTGTTGTGCGTTGTGCGTTGTGCGTTTTGCGTTGTGCATTGTGCGTTGTGCGTTGTGCATTGTGCGTTGTGTGTTGGTGTTGTTGTTGTTGTTGTTGTTGTTGTCGTCGTTGTTGTTGTTGTTGTTGCTGTTGCTGTTGGTGTTGTTGTTGTTGTTGTCGTCGTTGTTGTTGTTGTTGCTGTTGCTGTTGGTGTTGTTGTTGTTGGTGTTGGTGTTACCCCTGCAGCGTTTTTGCTCGGTTCCGTAGTGGCCGAAAATCGTCAAATCGGTGGTGTTTTCGCGTGTTTTTGCAACTCTCGGAGCAAAAAAAACCGTAAATACCGATGTTTTTGGCGGGTCGGAAGCCCAAAACCACGGTATTTACGATGTTTTTTGCCTCTGGTAGTAAAAAGCACGGTATTTACAGTGTTTTTTGGCCAGCACCTAGCAAAAACACTGGTATTTACGGAGGTTTCACATGTAGCAAAATGTGGTTTCTTGATCCGAAAAGAACAAAAATACTGTAAATTACAATGTTTTGAGTCTGCTCTTAGGGTGCGTGGGAGGTGTGGAGGGGGGGTGTGAGGTAGCTATCCCTCTATTAGGGGAGCCCTGGATTATGTACAAACACCTGAGTCAAGCGTGATCTTTTCTACGCAAGATTCTGCTAGTCTTGAGCCATGCGGAGTGCGCATGAAAGATATGAATTAGGTGTACATGTCAACATGCATGAAAGCATTGTGTAGACACGTAAAACAAAATAAATCACAAACAGACACAAATTTTCTTCGTGTCGGAACATGCAAGTCTGTTTCACAGGTAGCGCTCAGCCTGTGATCTGCTGTGAGACGGTCCGAAGACAAAAACAAAACTGTACAAAAGCTACTCTCCGCTGTTGGAAAGCGGTTGGTTTTCGGCTGCTGTCAAGCTACCGCAAATGCGGAACATTGCAATTTTTCTGGGGCTACAAGCCCATAGTGAAATAGTAACCGTAGAAACTCAGCTCATTTTGCCTACGGTTTTCCCCGGACAAATGAAAGAAAATGGACTGATCCGGTGTTTGCGGGATCATGTCAAGCCACGTTCCGTCGTATTTTTGGACCCAACGCTGTCTGGGTACTTGGTACCCTGGGACGTATTCTACTTGAGTGGTATTGGGATTAACTCTATAGTACGACGGCTGATCATAACTGTAACCGTAATTACGGTGTCCGGAAGAGCTTGAAGCTGTTCCTTGGCTAAGCCATTGCGAACCCGACAGGCGGGATGGAGGCGCAGGAGGCTCAGGTACGTTAATAGGCCTTTTTCTGGTTGTTTGCCTTTGGTCCGCCTGCTGCGATCTCTGCCTCTGGTCAGCCTGTTGTGTTCTCTCTCTCCACGGCGGTGGAGTCTTCGGTGGTCCTGGCGGATCAGGTGGCGTTCGAGGCTGTTGTGAACCTAATGTTCGTCCGGGAGCCGGAACTGGAGGAGCCTTTACAGGAGGCCTTGCACTTGAGGAAGATCCTGATGACTTCGGTGCGGATGTTTCTCTTAAGGATCTTGGTGCAGCTTTATATTGCACTGGTCTGGCTTTCTCTGCTGGAGCTCGCACTGGTGCCGGAGGCGGTGCTGGTGTTTCAGCTCTGGGTCGATATGCTCTGGTCCTGCTGACCGATCGACTTCTAGTGCGTCCAACATTTCGGTGTGTATCAGTCCGCAGAGGCGGAACACTGTCTCTCCTTTCTTCTCTTTTGTCGAGATATCCTTGAGTTCTCTGCATCCATTTTTCACGTCTTTTATCCTCAGATTCCTTGGAACGGATGCGCATATTTTTCAATGCCTTTAGGGAGGCATATGTAAGGAGAGGTGAGTGCCAAGCACAGTCCTTTTCTGCCAGACCGAGGTCATATGCCATCAAATGTTTCAACTGTTCAACATCGTTCAACATAACTTCATCGGAAAAAGCAGATCCTGCAAATCCATCGGCAGAAGCGGATTCTTCTTTTGCACGTGCTTCCGTGACAGCGATCTGCTTACCGTAACAAAGAGAAATTAAAAGCATTGAATCACAATCAGCATCATCTCCACGCATGCTTCGGATGTAATCAGCAGCAGTGGTCGATGAAACTACGTTATACGTAATACGGTTTATCGGACTGCGGTGAAGATTAATCTGCTGAAGGAAACGCTCCAAAATGTCGATAAGGATGCAAGTCCGGTAGTCGGAATGATCGTCTGCCTTAAAGCTTCGCTGTGCGAAAAGATTCCCGTCACCGGACAAAAAGTCACACTGATGTTCGATACAGCTTGCGACAAATTGGAGCCATTTCTGGCAAGTTTCTTTATAGGCATTACTCCATGCATATGAGGAGATATGAAAAACCGCAATGCGGCATTCAGCTAACATGAGACGTCGGACGTCATGGGTGTCAGCTCCAAGATTCACTTCACAGGCTTCCACGCCGGAGACGGCAAGGTCATCGTCTCCGTCGATCTCGCAGATCGAATGATCAAGAAAATCGAGTGAGGATGCAAGTGGGCGATCATGCTGGTAAACCGTAGATTCGGCATTTTTCTCGATGTCCGGTTTCGGAACACGAGCGCCAGTAGAAGGATCAACAAATTCTCCTGACGTATTCATGCCATGGCAGAGGCGGAAAATGGCGCCATGCAAAATCCAAAAAGGTGCATCTTTGTTGGACGTTTGAATTTGGTGTTGACATAAAAGTTCAATAAATGAGCCTGTATCATGTGATCCACGGAGAAAAATTGCAAGGGACTGTGACTGGATGTGCGGGTGCACTACCATTCCAATCATGCCGTACTCTTCGGCAAGTTCTCGATGGACGGCAATTCCTCCGTACTCATCGGAAGCTTCGCACAAGCACACAATATGGGCCGCATTACGGAACACTAAATGTGGCAAGGCACGATGATTAATATCAGTTCTGACCCATTTTGGAAATTTTGCACAACCTCCGATAAACGGAAGACGGTTGATGTGACCAAGGTTCAACGTCAAAATGCCAAGCTGATACGTGTCCTTCTGAAATTCGTGGATGTTCTCCTTAGTGCGCTTGGTAACACCGAGGATTGCTCTCTTACCTAGAAGGCACGATCTGAAGAGTTCCAATAAACGGAGAACCTCCTCTGTCGCAAGTTCATCGCCGTCAGGGTACTTGAAGAAAGCCTCAGGTCGCCAGATCGGAAGAGGCGTCTGGTCCTGGGCATCAACAAAGTGCTCCTGGAGAGTCGGAATTCGACATCCAAATGGCATTTCATAAACATATTCTGTATAATCAAAGTCTTCAATTCCATGACGTGCAAAAGACTGAAGATAAGTGTTTCCAATGGAGCGTCCCTCACGCAGATGCGTGATCAGTTCAGAGAATTTTTCTTGGCGATATTGAGCATGCTCTCTGCGGGTGGCTCCGAAATACGAAGATTCAGCAAGAACAGCGTCAACCAGGTCTTCGATATCGAAAGGCGATTTGGATGAGCCGATGCTGTCTGGAATAAAATCAGAGGACAACTCAGAGGAAAAATTAATAATGTTATGTTTGCAAGACAAGCCGCAGGTGCGGCATTCCAAGCAGTAGGCCATGCCACAAGGGTGGCACCAGAACATTGCCTCTGAATTTCCACAGTCTTCAAAATTCTTACAACATTGAGGACC